TATGCAGAGCCACAAACAAGAACGTTTCTAGTAGCAGTGTTTGTAATAACGGGAACTGGGACCAACTGAGAGAGCTATCTCCAGAAGAACGCCTGTGAAAATGTGAGGCAAAGCATATATTGGAATGTGATACAGCAGTGAAAATGAGTTAACTACGCTCCGTGCATCAACAGGGTCTCAAAATTACAATACTGAACAAAACCAGCAAATCACTGGAGACTACATAAGGCATGATACCACTTACCCAAAGCTCAGATTCTTACTAACGTACTTAGTGGTGGACGAAAGTGGAGCAGGCAGGAAAGATAGATCATTTGTAAAGAAACTGAAAACAAGAAAATGAACTAAAACTCGGTCTGCTTTTTATTATCCCCATACATCAACAATTCTGAGTATTATTGATGAAATCCTCCTCCCTGCAAAGAGAACTCCTTCCAATCCCTAACCCCCCAACCTTGGTAAGCAACTGAATATATGGTTTAGAGGCATTTTATTTCAGCAGTAAAAGTGTCAGGAAAAGTAAGGGAATGAGAGAATTAAAGTGCAGATGCGTGGTTTTCCTTGGAGAGGAGAGGGATACTGTTGGAGACCAGCTCAGAGGCCTTCAGAGGAATTCCTTGTGCTCTGTTTTTTAAAATGGAGTGATTGGTACATGGCTGCTTATCATATTTTTAATGTCTTATTTATGTATTTATTTTGTATGTATTATGTGTTTATTTATATCTTCTTCTGTGTGTATGAAATCTCTACCCTCAAGAGAAAGAAAGTTGGAGAAGCAGAATCAGCAGGGGGCAGGGCAGGGCTGGAGCCGAGGCTCTGTGGGGCACCTGGAAGCTCCAAACTCCAGAAAGAATAAGAGGTGGCTCAGAGAAGGGTCAAAGAAATATAAGGAGCCCAGGGACCCCAGCAGCAGGTGCCCAGGCTGAAGCTCAGGGGACTGGGGGCTTGAACAGAGGGGGAGCCCAGGGAGGCCTGCCCCGCCAGGCCGGGGGAGCCAAGGGCATGGGTGAGGTTTCCAGAAAGTGTGGGCACAGTAAGAAGGGGGGGGGCAAGGGGCAGCCTGGAAACACTCCCCACCAGGACGAAGGAGAGCCCCTTGCGCTGAGGCTGGGGAGGGGGGCCGAGCCGGGTCAGCGAGGTCACACTCTGCCGGCGGGAAGCTGCCCCTGGGTGTGCAGGGAGGGCCGCTGCTGACCTGGTCTGGGGCCGCGTGTGGCCAGGAAGTGGGGGCCAGATTGCAGTGGAGGACGAAGTGACTCGGAGGAAGGGACATGCAGGTGGGGAGCAGAGACGGCTCTCCAGAAGTTTGGCTGAGAAGCCGAACATCAGCAGCTGGGAACAAACACAAAGTTGAGGGAGGAATTTTGTCAAACTTTTTCCAAGTGATTGCACAAATGTCAGTCCGGCTTATCCCCAGGAAGGCGGAAAGGATGCCTTCAGGCCTGCCCCCACCCCCTGCACTCGCAGCAGCCGACCGCAAGGCACCGAGGCGGGGGGCATTTCTGGGGGGGGGGCACTGCCTGCCGCGGTGGGGAGGGAGTATTGGATCCCCGACGTTGTTCAGGATTGCCAGTACGTGGTGAGGATGACAGAGAAGAGCTAGCAAACTGACAGTTTGTCATTTTTATTCTTGTTTTTAAATTCTTCCAGACAACATGAGCTTTCTTGCCTTCCCCCGGCCGGGCTGCTCCTAGCATCAGGCCTCAGCGTGGCACCAGTGGAGAGGGGCAGGCGGGGCGTCCCCAGGAGCCGGCGTGCGTCCTGGTCCCTTCACATTCCAGCCACCTGGTCGGGGGCAAGTTCCTCGCCCGGCCGCGCGTCCGTGCCCTTTGGCTTGCTGTAGCTGAGGTGAACTCTGACCGGTCAGGGCGGTGTAGGGAGAGGGAGAGAAGGGGGAAGCACCCAGCGCCTGGCACACGGTGGGTACTTACTAAGTGTCCTTTTGGAGTCAAGGAACAGAGAAGACAGTGACTGGTGTTGCCCGCCCCCTCCCGGCCCCCAGTAGAGGAGCAAAGCCCAGGGCAGGTACCTGGGGGATTTGTCCTGGGTGGGCAGGGCTGGTGGGTGTGGGTGACTATCCTTGGGGCCACCCAGGTGCACCTCTGCCCCGCGAGGTTTGGCTGGACTAAATCAGTGACTGTTGGAAAAGGCTTCCCTGTAGCCTCAAAGGCCAGGCCCGTGGGCCACCTCCGCCCTCGGCCGGTCCCTGAGGAGCCGCCCTGCCTGGGCCGCAGGGGGCAGTTGTCATGGGGACGCTGGGCCTGCCGAGCTGCCTCCTTAGCAACGGGACTCGGAGGCCGGTTCCCATGGAAACAGCATCCACTCGGCCGTCAGGGATGAGGACCGGGTTCCCTGCCCTTTCCGGAGGACTTCCCCTCCTCCCTCAAGGGGCCGCACAGCAGGCAGTCCCCGTGTGCAGAGCCGGGAGCCCCAGGGACTTCGTTGTTCCAGCCGCCGATGGCTGCCTCTCCCCCATCCGACCAGGTCGTGGGGCTGGGGGGACCCCCTGCGGCCCCGGGGGGAGTGAGGGCAGCCATCTGAAGGCTTCATGGAGGGTGTGGGGGCCAAGCCCAGGGCCCCCCGCCGGCCCGTCAGGAGGGAGTGGGTGCCCTACCTCCTAACAGCGAAGCCGCCCATCCCCAGTGTGCCCTCAGCTTCCCCAGACCGCTCAGGGGCCCAGCAGCTGTGTCCCACCGTTGGCCGCTCTGAGGCCCTCTGTCCTGGCCATGACACCCTACGCCCACCCAGTCACCTTTGGTCCCCCAGCCACCCTCCAGTTTCTGAGGGCCCATCTTCAGGATCCCAGTGGAGTCCACGTGCACAGTGACCGTCCTCCTTCCCCTTCCGGGAGCACCAAGGAGTCCCAGCCCTGGCCGCTGGGGTGGGCGGGGGCTGAGTCAGGGTCTCACAGCTCCACCAGGGGACAAAGGACACACACGCTCGCGCTCTCTCTCCTCCTTAATGACTCACCAGCCCACGAACAGCGCGCGCCTGCCGCCGCAGCCAGCCCTCTCACACGGCCTCACACCTACGCTCCCTGCTCTGGGGGACACAGGCTTGTGCCCCCAAGTGCCCCCAAGGGCTCTAGGGGCCGTGCCCCCCCACCCACCACAGCCTGGCTCCTGAGCCTCCAGCGTACCCCACTGACCTTACTCTCTGCTCCCAATCCCAGAGCCTTGGAAGAAGACAGCATCTGCTGGAATTTTTTTATTTAAATAAAATATACAACACGGTGCATTTACCGTTTTCTGTTTTAAAAGTGGTAGATTTGAAAATTGCTTGGGGGGGGGGTTGGGGATGGGTGGGCCCACTGACTGGACCTGGCTTCCCCAGTCTCTGAAGAGTGGCTGGGCTGGGTCAGAGCTTTTATAAAATGCGTGCGTGTGCGTGTGTGTGTGTGCGCGCACGTGTGTGTGTGTGAAGACGGTGGTGAGGCCAGGCCCTGATGGCAAGGGGAGTGGTCCTCAAGCCTCATGCCCCTGCAGCCTCCACCCCTGCTCCTCTCCCCTCCCCACCGCCCCCCCCCCAGGACTAGACAGGCTTTGGATCAAGTCCTGCCGCCTTCCTTGAGGGGGGCAGCGGTGTGTGCACAACTCAGGTTGAGGCTGCCACTTAAATCCTTCCTGCTCTGAGAACTCCCTGGGCCCAAGGGGCATCCTCCTGCCCACCGAAGACCCCAGCCAGGCGCCTAGTCTCTCCCCAAGATCCCAGGATCCTTCACCACCTTCTCTCCTGGATGGCTGTCTCCCTCTCCCTGTGGCCCATCCATGGAGATACTGGCCTGCCCCACAACCCAGGACAACTCAGGACCAAATCTGATCTTGACTTCATTCCGGCTGGAGCATGGAGGGGGGTTCTGGTTGGACAAGGTGGGACCAGCCCTCCCCACTCTGCAGGTCTCAGCAGCCAAACCTGCTCCCGCCCAATAGACAGGTGGAGTCAGACCACTAACCTTGGCCCTGGCAGAGTCTGGCTGGGGAGGAGGAGTGTGCCTCAGGAGGCATCTGAGCTGCTTTCACATCGGCCCCCATTCTGAACCTGCTTCCGGGACCAGGTGCCTTCAGAATCAAGGCCAAAGCCCTCAGGCTGCCATCCAACGCCTCTGGATCTCCACCCAAAGCCCTGACTCTACACGTAGGCACCCACCTCAGCCCCGTCCTCACCGTGCACTGCATCCCAACCCCGCTCCCCTTTCTTCGCCTCCCCGCTTCTCTTTCCTTCCTCCTCTCTAAATCTTCCCACTCTCAAGGCCTGGCTCAAGCCCACCACTGGCCACAGGAGGCCCTGCAAGGAGGCCCAGCCACCTCCTGTGTCCTGAGATCATAAGGTCCTGGAGCCCTCAGCCAAAGTTCTTTGGACTCTCACCACAGCTTGTTGGAGCAGTGGGCTGGGCACATGAGGAGGGGGCAGAAGAAACCTGATTTATTGAGCACCTACTACGGTGTGTGCCAGGCGCTGGGCTGGGCATTTCACATCTGCTACTTTTCTCATCTGGTCCTCATGGGTCCTTGTGAGGCGGTACCATAATTATTCCCATTTTACAAATGAGGTAACAGACTCAGAAAGGTCAGATAACTAGCCCAAGGTCATAGAGCTACGAAGTGGCAGAGCTGGGATTTGAACCCAGGTCTGATTCCTTCCAAAATCTGGTCTCTTCCCACAGCACTACACTTGGAGACTAACTCAGTCCCTTTCAACAGTTGCTTCTGGAAGGGACATAGGATTTGGCCTCAGGCAGGCGTGGATTTAAATCTCCAATCAGTCCTGGCTCTGCCACTCCTAGTTACATGATTCTGGAAAAATTGCCCCAAACTCAGTGTCCTCATCTGTGAAACGGGGAGAATCGAAGTACCCACCTCATGGCCTTTGAGAAATTGAAGGAGCTAATGTGTGTAAAGTGCTAAACCAGGGCTTGGCACAGAGCAGACTCAATAAACAGAATTTCCCCTCACCTCCCACTGTACAGATGGGAAAATGGAGGGCCCCCGGAGGTGACAGGATGTGCTTGAGGCCCCACAGGGAAGGAGGGGGTCTTCTGCTTCTGTGTGGGGAGAGGTCGGGCTAGGACTGGATTTGAGACCAGAGATGGAGAGAAAGGGACCCTGCTGAGAGGTCCTGGTGTCCTCTTCCCTGAGGACTGGAGAGAACATCTTCCCCAGACCCTGGGGTGCCCAGCCAGAGGGCCAAGGCGGGCTGCGGGATGTAAGGTGCCCTGGGCGTCCTGGCGACGGGGGGTTAAAATGAGCACACACGTGAGTGGCTATCTACATGGCTCTGCAGGGCGCTACATAGCTATACACATTTTACATACATATACATATTCATATTCATATACATAGCTTGCTAAGTTTGCAGTAGAAAAAAAAATGCAAGACTCTCAGGGCCCTGGCCCCATTTTGTCTCAAGGACTCGGGTGACTGAGGCTCCCCAGGAACACATCCAGGGGCAACGCCTTCCTGGGGGGAACAAGATGACCGCAGCTAAGGGGCTGGTGGTGACTATTGCCCTAAAACGAACACAATAACAGACCTGCTCTAAGAAACCCCAAAGGTGGGTCACCCCCACGCCCGTCAAGCCCCAGAAACCCCCACCTGCATTCTTCTGGCTTTTGCCTTTGGGCCCTGCCTGCCTCCCTGCCCCCTCCCTCCCTCTAGCGCTGAGTATTAAAATAGTCTATAAAAGCAAGTGACCAAAAATCTATAGCTCTAAGAATACCTGGTTATTTTCTGCTGTCTTTTGTTTTTCTGGTGTGGGTTTTTTTTTTTTTAATGATAATTATTATTGGTATTGGTATATCTCCTAATCACAGTTAAACCTGAAGGAAGAAAGAAGGGAGAAAAAAAGAAGAGAGAAGAGGGAGGGAGGGGACCCGCTCATAGATTGGACGGCAGTTTGGAGCGCACTGGCTCAGCCCTGGCCCCAGGTTCCCTCTGGGGGGCAGCAGTCAGAGGGGGCCCCCCAGAAGAGGCGGCTCTTGCCCCAAACAAAGAAAGAGGGGGTGGCAAAGAACCTGAGGATGTCTTCCGAGGCAGAGTGACATGCTGGCCGGGGAGGGCACCATAGGGCCTCCCCGGGGGGCCGAGGCCCCCGCTGCCCCCGCTAGCGCCGCCAGCTCTGGGGACGGTTGGGAAGGCGGCCACGGACTCCCCCGAGGAGTGCGGAGAGGCTCTGCGGAGAGTCTGCGCCCCGTCCTGGGGCAGGGCCGGCTGGGAGGCTGAGATGAGCTTGAGGTCCTGGGTGAGGCGGCCCGGGGTGAGCGGTGGCGTGCCCCGGCGCTGGGGGACCTGGGGGGCCGGGGGGCTGGAGGCGGGCGGCAGGAGCAAGGAGCCGTGGGAGCCGGAGGCCCGAGGGGGGGCACTTGGGAAAGTTCTTGGGGGGCCGGGGCTGTGGCCCGGCGGGCTGAGACCTCCACGGGGGGGAAAGGCTACGGGAGAAGCCCCCCCGGGGGCCCCCGCCACGAAGGACGGCCGCTCAGGTTGCCGCGGGGGCGTCTCTGGCGTACTTGGCGGGCCGGCGGCCAGCTCCCCGGGAGGCTGGCCCAGCTGCCCGGGGCTGGCCGACGGGGACCGGGAGGAGGGCGGGGGCGGCAGGAAGTGCTCCAGGAGTCCCAGGCACCCCCGCGCCCCGGGCAGCGGGGGCGGCGGCTGGTTGGCCTGCGGCGAGCGGGCGCCGGGCTGCAGCGGCGTGAGCAGCGGAGAGTCGGACGAGGACAGGGAGCCGCCCAGCGCCTTGTGGAAGTGGCCGAAGCCGGCGGCCGCGGCGGCAGGGGCGGAGGCGGAGGGCGTGGGAGCCGGGGACGAGCCGCCGAGCCCGGGCGGCGGGGAGGAGCCGGACGAGGGCAGGAGCGGGCTGAGGCCGGCGGGCGCGGAGAAGCCGGCCAGCTGCTGGATGTGGAAGGAGGAGGAAGACGGCGTGTCCACCTGCGACGGGCTGCTGGCGGGCGAGGCAGAGCCCAGCGCCGACGGGATCAGGGACTGCAGCCGCTTCAGGTGCCTGGGCGTCTGCCCCGCCCCGAGGCCGCCTAGCCCGGGGCCGGGGGGAGGGCGGAAGATGGCGGCGGGCAGGCGGGGGTGGTGGGTGAGCGCGATGGCCACCGAGGTGGTGGCCGCGGCGGCCTGCAGCGGCGCCTGGATCAGCGGGGTCCAGATGACCGGCGTGGGCGTCGGGGTGGCCGAGGCGGCGGCCTGGACGCGGTGAGCGCAGTGGGCCATCTCGCGGTCATGCTGCACGATCTGCTGGATGATCTCGTTCTCCTGGTAGTTGAAGACGCCTGAGTTGAGGTCGTGCTGGACTTTGTGGAGGAGGATGGAGTTCTTCTTGCCTGGGCCACGGAACCAGAGCAGGGGCTCAGGCCGGAGCGGGAGGCGGGGGGGTGGGGGGGGGTAGGGGGTCCCCCTCCCGGCCGCCGCCCTGCCCGGCCCCTCACCAATGCGGTCGAGGCGGTCCAGCGCCACCGTCTCGAAGGCCCGCCGCATCATGGGGTACTCCTCCAGCACCTCGTTGAAGTTGTCCACGCTCAGCGAGTAGAGGCGACAGTAGGTGTCGGCCCTCACGCTGGCCGTGCGCCGACCCCGAGTCAGCAAGCAGATCTCTGCCAGGACAGCGGGAGTGGGGAGGGGGGCTCGAAGGGGCCTCCTGCTCGCCCCCTTACCTGGGTCCCCACTGTCTGGTGGGGAAGCTTGACGGTCACAAGGCCCCATCCCCAGCGGTGACCACGCTAGATGCCCCCAAGTGCATGCCAGGCTCTTTCCCGGCTCTGGCACCCCCACGCTGGGCCACAGACACCCACTTCTGGGCAGTGGCCACAAAGGGCCCCAAACTTCATCCTCGGTGTCTCTCCAGCCCATTCCCCTGTCCCCCTAGAGTTCCCTGAGCCACCTCACCTCCAAAGTAGGAGCCGTCTGCCAACTTGGTCTCCTTGTTGCCCTTGGTGAGCACACTGACCACGCCGTGCTGGATGAAGTACATCTTCTTGCCAATGGTGCCTTCACGAATGATGTAGTCCCCAGGCTGGAAGACCTCGAAGCGCAGCTTGGTCAGCATGGAGGTCACGAAGTTGGGGTCCGCATTGGCAAACAGAGGCATGGAGGCCACCAGCTTCCGGCAATTGAAGTTGATGATCTCCTGCTCCCCAGACAGGGTGCACAGGCAGAGAGGGAGGAGGTGAGAGAGCTGCCCAGCGGGAGGCAAGCTCCCCTCCCGGCCGCCGCCGCCCGCCGCCAGCTCACCTCCCTCAGTGGCTCGCTCAGCTCGCCCAGGATGCTCTCCTCGTCGAACATCTTGCCCTGGTAGCGGTGCTCATAGTAGTCGTGGATGCGCTGCCGCGTGTCGGGCGGGAGCTTGTGGAAGGACATGTACTGCTCCACCTGCTTGTACTGAGTGCAGGGAGAGAGGGAGAGGGCGTCAGCTCCTGAGGGCCTCGGCCCTGCTGGTGACCAGAGCTGGCCCGGACCCTGTGGGCCTTCTTGGCCCAGCCTGGCTCCCCGACGCTGAGATCCTCGGTGTGGGTGTGCCCCCAAACCATGGCCCCCACTCCCAGCTGCTTCGGGCAGGGGAGGGGCTCCATCAGAGTGCTCAGGGCCCTGGAGATGGCTGGGGACGATAGGGGCCGTCCAAAGCCCCGTTCTAGGCCAACCGACCAGGAGCCCATCAAGTTTCCTCTGCACACGGGTCTTTTCTGTGTCACACTGTGGACCAGAGAGGCCTCACTAGCCTTGGAGGAGCTCTTTGCCACCAGCAGTCACAGGGTCTGGGCAGCAGGGTTGGCCTGCAGTGGGTTAGGGGGGCCGGAGGCTGAAGTCAGGATGCCTGACCCATCATAGGCTGTGTATCCAAACATGGCCCCCCGGCTGGCTCCAAGTCATTTTGTTGAAGAGTGACGCTAGCCCACGGGAGGACCAGGGTAGAACAAGGTCCTTCATCAGAGGTTGGGGATAAGAGATTTGTAAGCCTAAGGCCCAGGGCTCAAGCAAATACGAAATGCTCCCATCCACCCAGGGGTGAAGGGTGGGTGCTGCTCCAGCCGTCCCGGGACTGTGGGTGCAGAGTGGGGGTCCACAGGGGCACGCTAGGCAGAAACAGATTAGGCAAGAACAGAGTGTTCCCACACTGAGATGGAAGGGAAGTTCCTATATCCGGGGAACAAGCAGAAGAGGGGAGCCTGTTCTCACACATTGGTGCTCCCAAGAGGTGGGGGCAGAGTGCGGCTGCAGACAGATGCCAGCAGGCAACCAAGGGCTGGGAGATGAAGTTTCTGTCGTTCTTCCAGCCGAACGGGCTCTGTCTGCTCGAGGTTGTGCCCAGCCCCAGGAGACAGGGACTTCCCTGCTGGCTACGGGGACGGGGGCAGTCGGAACAGCTAGAGCTGTATTTTAGAGAATCCCCCACGCCTGGAGCATCAGTAATGGTGGGGAGGCAGGGTCTGGAGACGGGGCGGGAGCTGGAAGCTTATTGAAGTGATCCAGGCAAGAGCTAGTAGTGGGGACCAAGGGGAGGCAATACATTTCTGAGAGATTTATGGGGGAATCATATTGGAGAGCCATTAGCTAAAGAACGAAATAAAGACAATTCTCAAATGGAAAGTCACAAGCAGCTTGACTCTGCCCTCGAATGAACCCTGGTGCTTTTTCTAAACTATCCCTGATTGTAGTCCCCCATCCTCATCCCACACGGAGCCCTGACCCTGGTCTCACACTGAGTCCTGACCTGGTCACAGGCTGGGCACTGACCCGGGCCCACACTGATCCCTCACCTGGCCCTGGACTAAGCCCTGGCCTTTATAACCTGACTCCTCTCCTCCTTCCCCTTTCCAGCCCCTCACTCCTAACCCAGGATCCTTTGTTCTAATCAGGCTGATTTCTTCCCCACCCATCTGCATACACCTTTGCTCATGCTCATCATGATGACTAGCCTAGAATTCTCTTCTACCTTCTCCTTCCTCTGCCTCCCCAAACTGCCCCTCCCACCCTGCCTTGGCCTTGCAGACTCTCCCGACCTTTCCTTTTGGCAGCCTGGGACCTGGGCCTCCATGTCTTGGTCACCCCACCAAGGGACAGCACCTGGGGCAGGCAGGCAGCCAGTTAATCAATACACACTGACTCCTGCTATGTGCTGGACACCGGGAATTCAATGGGGAGGCGTAGACCTGGGTCCTGCCCTCACGGAGTCACAGCCTGGACGGGCAAGATGGATGCTAAACAACGGACCACACAGAGGACGTAAATATGGCAGGAGTTCCGACTGTGGTGAAGGGGAATCAGAGGGCACCATGGGGTCACAGAAGGCTCACCAAGGTGAAGTGCAGGCTGAGAGGTGGAGAAGTGGTCGGGTGAAAAAGAAAGAGGAAAGTTCCAGGCTAGTGTCTGTGCCAAGGCCCTGTGGCAGGAGGACACGTGCTGGGGGGTGGGCAGGCCGGGCGAGGCTGGAATGGAGGGCTGCTGTAGGCCCATGGCATGATCTGGGTATGAGAAGGGCAGGGGCCAGATTATGCCCCTTAAATGCCAGGCTGAGGAAATCCACCTTGGAGTCCCTCTGCATCTATGAGTAACGTGAAGACTCTGACGAGTTTTAAGCAGGATGATATGATCAACTTTATATTTTTTAAGTGCCTGCTCTAATCTGCCATGCAGAGCATGGCGTAGAAGGTGGCGGATGGAGCCCACTTAGCCAATAAATATTGACTATCCTGCTCTGTGCTCACACAGTCTTAGCGGTTGGCACGTATTACTCACTCCTCATAAACCCCATGATATGACCCCTTCTACTTATTGTCTCCATCTTACAGATGAGCAAATGGGGCACAGAGATGGGAAGTAACATGCCCACGCTCCATGGACAGCCGGTTATATCATTTGGGCCCCACTGCCCAGGGAGAGCTAGAAGGACCAGCCAGAGGGGGAGGAGGAAAGCCGAGAGTGTGCAGTTACAGAAACCAAGCGCCGAGCCAAGAAGGGAGTGGTAACTGTCAAATACCACTGAGATGCTGAGCGAGCCATCGGCTTTAGCAGTGCAGAGGGCACTGGGGAACTTCAATTCAACGGGCTGAGCCATGGATTCAGCAACCCTAAGCAACATGGGGGTTTGTTTGTTTTAGGAACTTGTCCATGAAAAAGAGGCAGACAACAGAAAAATGAGCAGCCGAGGCCAGATGATGGTAGAGGACAGAACACGTCGGCCCCCACCAGACCCACCGGCTGCCAGCCTGTTTTCCCTGGGGGTCACGGGACAGGTTCTCCTGAGACAGCCCAGGATGGACCACAACTTTCCGCCCTACCTTTTCCTGGTACTGGCGCCGGGAGGAGTCCAGGGACTGGATCAGGGCGGTGGCGTGGCCGATGAACATGGCATAGCAGGTGGCGCCCACAATCATGCTGAGCATGGTGAGCCAGACATCCGACATGCCCACAGGTGCCTGCCGTCCATACCCAATGCACAGCATGTGGCTCATGGCCTTGAAGAGGGCATAGGAATACTGCTTTCCCCAGGAGTTGTTCTGTGGACAGATTATGGGGTGGGTAGTGAATGGCCGCCCTCTCACTAGCAGCTAGAAAGGTCCCTGCCACCTCGCACCCCTCAACCTAACTTTTTCCCAGTGGCTGAGGCCAGGGAAGGCTTCCAGCCTTGCTGCTGGCTGAAAGCCTTGGGTGAGGGGCAGGAGGCCCATGCTGGTGACCTGTGGTGACAGCGGATCCCCGACTCGGGCCTTTCTCTTGCTCTGGGGGACACGGATCAGGCTAGAAGCCCCAGCAAAAGGAGGGGAGCCAGCCTCGCCCCCCCTCTGACTTCTCAATCCCCATGGGGCCTCCTGGAGCCCCCACAAGCAGCCAAAGGCTCCAGGCTGAGCCACCCTGCTGTCCTCCACTTGCTGAAATAGCTCCATCCCCCCCCACCAAACTTCTACCAAGTGAAGCCCATTTCCCCACTGACCTCAATTACAAAACCAAATATGCTTCCCCTGGGGGGACAGGCTCCAGCAGACTGAGCCAAAAACACTGTCCTCATTTTGGGTGAGCAAAGTTGAAGCGCTGCAGAGCTAACTCGCCTCCTGGGTGAGCCCTGCCGGAATGGGTCCAGGGCTGAGGCCCTCCTAGTCTTCCCCCACCAGGAGCTGGACTGTGTGGAACAGACACTGCTTGGGGGCTGGAGGAGGGAGGAAGGGAGTGAGCGAGGCTCCTGGCTATTTTTGTCTCCAAAGCCAGTCAGTGTCTCAAGGAAGTCTCCGTGTGGGAACGCTGGGCGCAGAAGGGCCATCTTCTGAATTTAGTGCATGTGTGGGCCTGTCACCCTCACACAGAGGAAACTGTCCCCAAAGAGGAAGCTGCCAGATGAACCCCAGCATCTGCCACCTCTTCACTGTCTCCCTGTTCACACAGAGGATGTATTAGCAACTATGCACAGGACTTTGTGCAGGACCCATAGAACCGGTGCCCAGAGCCCCAAACCCTTCCATGGTAAGCAGGCCATTCCCAGCACCTGGAGAAAGGCCCAGGAGCTCCTAGCCATGTTCAACATCACTCAGATGGTACCAGACAAAGCTGAGCTGGTCTGGTTGCTCTGGGTCCAGACCAGGTTGGGAGGTCAGGGGGGCTGATCCTGGGGTGCTGGCCCCAGCTCCCTGCCTGGGGACCTGGGGTGGCCCCCAGCTGTCTCTAGTCAGGGCTTGGGGCCTTACTGCTGAGCCTCTGGGGACTGGGAAATTCAATCCATATGGCCGATTCATTTACACTTAGCTCATCAAAAGGCTGTTTTGTAAAGGCCTATTTGATGCTGAAAGATGCCTCGGGGGTCTCTTTCACCTCTTTCAAAGCTGGTTTCTCCTCCCCTAGGGCTCTGGGAATTTGCCCGCCAACCCGAACCACACAGACAGGGAGGGAGAAGGAGGGAGGCGGGGTTCACCAGACCCCGAGAAATGGCCACAGGTCCAGGGGGTCCTCACCCCGCCTGGTACCCACTCTGTCCATGGGAGGCGCCCAGGGGTGGGGAGGGAGGCTCTGCGCTATGGCTTCCCAGCCCCCATTCCATCTTCCCTCCCCCACCACAGGGTTGGTGGTAGGGAGGTGGTAAGCCCTCCAGGCTCAGAAGGAGACAGTGTGTGTCTGAGGGGTGGGGACTGGGGGGCAGGGAAGGGAAGGGAAGGGGTGGGGGGGGGGACAGCCCCGCTCAGCTGCCTGAGCAGAAGGTGGCTAGCCGGGTCTAGGCGCTGCCAACAATGCTCCTCACAGGTTTCTCTTCCTAGGCTTTTAGGGTTGGTCTGCCTCCCGGGAACGGAGGGAGGAGGGCAGGAGCCCCCAGCCCAGCTTTGCCACACTTGAAACAGTCTGAGAATGGCCAGGTCTTCGCCTCCTTGGGTGAAGTCAGGGCCAAACCCTGAGGCTACCGAAGAAGGCCACGTAGCGAGCGGGACACAGCCCAGGGCTCTGGGACGGACCTCTATCGGTTAGAGCCATGTGCGCTCGGGCACCAAGCGGGCCCCTCGGGATCCCATGTGCTGGGGCTCAGGGGTCCCAGCTCGTGGCCCGCCTCTGCCCCTTCGTGCCCGGCCCCCCTCTCCCCAAGGCGCAGAGGGAGGGCGGAGCTGGGCGCTCACCACCATGTTGTTGATAGACACCCAGCAGTCGTCGGGAAAGTCCTGCAGCATGGGCACCAAGAACTGCAGGCAGCCGTCCCAGTGGCAGAGCAGGAGCATCATGCCGATGAGGTTCACTATGCGCACCACTGCGCTTGCCAGGTCGTAGGTCATGTGGAAGATCTGTAGGCAGAGGGAAGGAAACTGGCCTAGGTGGGCAGCTGGCTGGGAGAGGGCGTGGCCCCTGTGGCTGCTGGTGGGCACTGCCCCCCCCGGGGACTTGGCAGAGCAGCCGGCCTGGTGCAGGTGCAGGCGGGGGCAAGGGTGGGGAGGTGGCAGGAAGGTGGCCTGGAAGAGGCACAGAGCAAGCTATGGGGCCCCAGAGGGACGCCTCCTGGGATTCATGCAGATGCGGGTTCTCCCCTGGGGAAGTCCAGCCCTCCAGGCCGGATACCTGAAGGGAGGGCACCTGGAGCCCCCCGCAACCCCAGAGTGGGCAGAGAAGCTGCCTCATCAGCTTGCCTAGGCTGTGAAGACGACGGGAGAAGAGCCAGCCAGTGTGAGGCTCCTCAGGGGACCACGGTCTATCGTCATGCTAGGGCCACGGTGTTTCCCCAGCTCTGCCACTGGACATGGAGGACCTAGCGGCGGCAGTGGGCTCTGCTTAAGGCAGCCACAGAACCGAAGGGGAAGCAGCATGGACACAGGGGCTCCCAGTTCACACAGACCTTGATCCCAGGCCCACTTCTACCCAAACCACAGCTGTGCGACCTTGAGCAAGTCCCTGAACCTCTCTGATTATGTTTCCTCATCTGGAAAATGGCAATAAAAATTCTTACCTGAGTGGACTGTCAAAGGGATTAAATTATACATATAAAGTGCTCGCTACTATGGAAGTGTTCCACAAATTACGAACCATTATTAATTGATGGGTTGTTGTTAATAATTAATCTTTATGATTAGTTAATATGTAGTAGTAGTCATGCTCTCCTGTATCGCTTAATAAAGTACAGCCCTTGAACCCCAGCCCAGCACCACCCATGCACCCCCACGCACCCCCACTCCTGTGGCTCCTAGTGGGAGGCTGAAGCCTGGCGGGGCAGGGCCAGGGTGGGCACATCCCAGCATCTCTGCCCCCCCGCCACCCTCCTCCCAGAGCTGCTGCTTGGTCTGGTATTAACGGGGATCCCCATGCTGACAGGACAATGAAGGGACAGAGAGCTGGAAGGAAGTCTAGAGGGAGGTCTCTAGAAGCTCTGGTCTTGCCCTTGGCTTGGGAGACTCTGGGGGTGGGATGGGGTAGACTTTGGTAGCTGGTGGTAGGATATTCTTTTTTTTTTTTAAGATTTTTTTTATTTATTTGACAGAGAGAGCACAAGCAGAGGGAGAGAAAGGGAGAAGCAGGCTCCCTGCTGAGCAAGGAGCCTGATGTGGGACTCGATCCCAGGACCCTGGGATCATGACCCGGGCCGAAGGCAGCCTAACCAACTGAGCCACCCAGGTGTCCCTGGTGGCGGGATATTCTGATACTAGTGACTTGGTTTCCCCTTCTGAAATGTGGGCTTAGTTTGGGGCTAGGTTCTGAAAAGCCAAACATGAATACTACTTGTCGATCACCCCCAGGGGTGCGCCCACCTGTGGCCCCCTTACTAGCACGACTCTGCATGTTCCAGCCGAAAGGCGGTGGAGTCTTTTCAGGATGAAGCAGACCCTGGAGAGGTTCATGGAGGATGGTGCTCCATCACCCCCATGGCCCCCGTGACAGAGGGACAATAACACCACATCTGAGTGTGGGCATGTGGGCCCACAGCCGTAGTCCCATTTAAACTCACAACAAGCCTTTGCTAAAAATATTCGTAATCCATTTTCCACCAAGGCTCGGAGAGGGAAAGGCACTGGCCACTGTCATGGCGGCAGTGGGAAAGGCGCGTCCGAGCCCAGGGCTGCCTGCAGATTATCAGACTGGCCCAGTGAGGGAAGGACAGTTTTCAGGAGTTCTGTCTTGCAGATGGAACAACTCAAACCCAAAGTGGCTGAGCGATGTGGCTGGATTCACACGGCAAGGGGACCCAGGGCCAGCCCGAACTCCCCAGCATCTCGCCTCCATAAGCCCTGTGCTGTGAGCGTGCGGGCTTCCCGCCGAACTGCTGCATCAGTGTAAGGGCGGGGGGCACGAGCGACCAGGCAGGGCAGTACGGGCCCGGGGCCCGCGTCTAGGAGGCAGAGCACGCCCGAGCATGACAGCAGTGCCTCCGTCTGTCCGTCCACAGCCGGCCTTGCCCTGGAGCCTGGATCCCAAGCCCAGGAAGCTCCTCAGCCTCTCCCCACCATCCCCAGCAGCTCCTGAGTACCAGCACCCCACCTGCGGCTCTGAGGGGAGATCTCACTTCTGGCTCCTCACTGCTTAGGTGGACATCACAGCTCTATGACCTTGGGCAAGTCACTAACCTTCCCAAGTCTCGGTTGACCAGGAGGCCGCCAGCTCCCCAGACTCAGAGGATGGGGAAGGCAAGTGATGTGGGACCATCCAGTCTAAGAGATGGCCAGCCCTCACGTCCTACCACATCTCAGCCTCCCCTCAGCTAAGACAAGCTAGACATCTGCCTCCCATTTCTCAAGGTTGCTGGAGAAATTAAACTGGCTAAGATAGTCCTCTGGGCCCCAAACACATGGGCGGGGTCATTATTACAAAGCTCCCTCATTTCCCAGCTGCTATGGACTGAATGTTTGTGTCCCCCCAAATTCATATGTTGAAGCCCGAACCCCCATGGTGATGGCATTAGGAGTTGGGGCCTTTAGGAGGTGATGAGGTCATGAGGGGTGGAGCCCCCATGAATGGGGTCTGGGCCCGAAGAAGAGACACAAGGAGGATCTCTCTCTGCCATGTGAGGACAGAGCAAGAAGGTGGCCATCCACAAACGAGGACGAGGGCCTCAGGCAGAAGCCAACCGTGCCGGCACCCCGATTTGTCCTCCCAGCCTCCAGAACTGCGAGAAATAAACGTTTGTTTTTTAAGCCCCCAGGTCTGCCGTATTCTGTTCTAACAGCCCAAGCTGGACAGCGCTTACGGTGTCTAGGAGGGAGAGTACCATGCAGTATGCTACTCTACAGTATAGAGTATATGTTACAGTACTAGAGCTGCAGGTAGCCTCAGACCCCTTTTAGAAGGCGTCCCAGCCTGGGACAGCTCACGGAGACCACCCGTCTCCGTGAATCACTCCAGGCCTTAGAAACAGAGGTATCCGGGTTGGTATATTTTTATGCAATACCTGCTTTTCTTTGGGTATCGCCTATGTTTTTTGTTCCTTCGTAGCTCATCTTCCTCCAGGATCAGGTCCTTGTCTAGTTTTGCCTTTATCATGACCTCAGCAATGAATGGGGCAGAGCATGTGGTAGGGGCTCAGGAACTGTGAAGTGCTTCATGACAGAGGGAAAGGGGAAGGTGACGATGACCGGGATGGGGATGATGGCGATGATGCAGATCAGGGCCGCAGCGAGTGTACATGGTGGCATTTGGAAAAGGCCCCACTCTAGGCAGGCGCAGCCAACGGGGACTCTGCCTCTGCCTTCGTGGGAAGAAAAAGGGGACTCTTCCTACAGGTGGGCACAGACTCACGAGTCCTGCAGAGCATGGTGGTGTTGGTGGTGCCCGGTGCTGGGCTGAAGAAGTAGGCAGATGCTGGAAGGGGGCCCGGTGGAGGTGGGGAGGGGTGGGAGGGTGGGAGTTTTTGGTGGTGGGGAGGGGTACTGTGGCTGGCAAAGCCAAAGGCACCGACATGGTGAAATACGAACTTCCTGCCAAGAGCTGGTGGGGGCGGGGCACATCCATCCAGGCTCGGAGGTACCCCAGCTGGTGAGGACATGCACCCCGGCCCGAACGCTATGGCACCCAGGTATGGTTGCTGAGAGTAAGGCTGGTGGTTGCCGGGAGAGACAGGTAAACACTTGTGTGTCCCTGTTGTGGGCAGGGGCCGCAGGCCGCCTGCAAGTCAGCTGCACTGCGCAAATATTTACCTTGCTCTTTATACTCATTAAAAGCCCCTTTTATGATGTTGGTTCTGACTGTGGGGGTTGAGTACCTTCATTTTCAGCCCCGCAAGGCTCGCTGGGGGGGGGCAGCCTGGGCGCCTCGCTCTCTGTGCCCTGCATGGCCCTCGCTGGGGCGGGGGGTGGGGGGGCGTGCTCCACAGCTTCCCGGCCACAGTGCGGAGATAGAGTGACATGTTTTCCACCTCGGCCAAGCATCTTCTCTGCTCTGAGCCTCTTTCCTCATCTGTGTAATGGGTCAATAACTGCCAGCTCCCAGGGCTGTCTTGGGGATCAGGAGAGATGATGTCCACAGCTGGTATACAGTAGGTACTCAATGCATGTTGGTTCCTTTCCTTCCCTCTCTTCCCCAGCCTTCAAACAAAGAGTTCTTTTCTCAGGCCTGGGGAGAGACCAGAAACTGGAGTTTTCACTGAGGCCTCTTCTTGGGGCTGGGTTGAGTTCCCTCCCAGGGAGACTCCTTTTCTCCCCAGGAAAAAAGAACAACTTCTCCCTGTGTCTCAGGGACCAGTGACCACACTGGGGTCAACAATCCCAGGCCTGAGAGGATGGCTGATGCCCGTGTGTCCTGGGGACTGCCTGGAGGTAGCCAAACCGAGGGTCACCCTGGGTCCCTTCCTGGGGCCTACAGAGAGCGCCAAGCCCTCCCCCTAGGACCACTCCTCGATTCTGAAAGAGATAGAAAAATCGAGGCCTGTGGGGGAGGAGACTCATCAGGAGGCTCGGCCGCGGCCCAGCCTCCTGCCTCCAGGCTTCCTGCCATGGCTCCTGGCTGCCGAGGGAAAGAGGATGCTGGGATGGGTCGCTGGGGTGCTGGGCCTGCAGGGGAACATCGGGGGTGGGGGGGCGGACCGCTGTTTCTAACAATAGCCTTCATGCCTGTAACAAGCTCACACCTCAGAGGGAGGGAAGAGGCTTGGCTGGGAGAGGCTGGGGAGGATGCTGACCTAGATCGCCTGTGATGGAGGCAGAGGCTGACGTCCTCTGAGAGGGTGGCCTACACCTGCCGAGGCCCTCCACCTCCCCTGACTCCCAAGACCTGCTAGTAACACTTGCGGACTCTCTGACAGGGGTGCTGCGCTGGGCCGGGCGAGGCACCTGAAACCTGGGGGTCGGCAGTCTGGCCTCCCGCAGCTTCACCTGCTTCTTCACAGGTGGCTGACCTTCTAGCCCCCACCCAGGGCCATGACAGTGTCCTCAGGGTCAGCTCACATCATCCTTGCCAGGGGAGGCTGGAGCGGGGACCAAGCCCCAACCCCCTAGAACATCGGAGCCCACCTGACAGTCGGGAAAACTGAGGCCCCCAAAGGGAAGAGATTCACATAGGGAGTTAGAGGAGGAGAGACAGCAGGGTTTTCTCTACTGAATACCTCTCTTCCCTTGTCTCCTGTAGACCTGGGACTTCCAGGGTGTCCCTGCTCTTTGCCCCTCCAGGCCAAGCTGAGGCGAGAAGCCCCAGGGCTAGGGCAGGCTGTAGAAGATGTGGAGACAGGGTATCTGGGGCCAGTTGGGAAAGCCCAGTCCCATCCCAGGGTCCAGTGGGAGCCCTTGGCTGGGCGGTGTGCCCACAGAAGCCAACTCAAAGCAATTTCCTCCCTAGCTGGTAGGCCAGATGAGGGTGTGTCGGGGGGGGGGTAGGAGTCATCTATTTGGTCTCCTAGGATCTGCCTCCCTGCCCAGGAGACTGAGTACCCATGTTCAGTTCAGAGCCCTGACCTGAGGCCTCCTGGGGCCTCTGTCTACCCCAGGGAAGGGCCAGGGCGAGAGCCTGCCTGACCAGTTCTGGGTAGCCCAGAGGGTAGCCAGGCCGGAGAGGCAGTGGGGACAGAAGCCCTGGACTGAGCTCCCAGCACGTGTGGTGCAGGGACAGTAACAGAAGCACTTAGTTTCTATTCCAGGCCTCACTCTGCAGAGTCACGGGCAAGTGTGCCAAATTCTCCCCAAATACTATGGCCCCAGGGACCAGGCATCAGGAAGCAGCAAGGGTTGTTCCAAGGGGGCAGGGGTCTGGAGACTTGAAGCAATGCTCGAGAAGGAAAAGAGTGGCTACTTGTCTGCTTTTAATGATAGTCTAGCTGCAAGTTCAAGATAAACGGAAGGCTAGGGGGGGTCTTCGGGACTGAGGGAGCCAACATGGTCCGGAAGTCTGCCTGGAGGTCTCTAGGGTCCACCCTCCGGACCATGGTATTTCTACTTGGGACAGAAAGAGACAAGCCTGTGAGGGCATTCCAGGAAATCTGCCTCTGTTCTTCCTCTGCAGCCGCTCAGAGGGGCCTCAGCCCCCCCACCCCCACCCCAACACTCTCCGTGCCTGAATGTCCCATAGGTACCTCAAACCCAACCCATCACATAGAACTCCTTACCCCACCCCTCGACCTGCTCGGCTGCCCGCCTTCCCAATCTCAGCTGGGCGTCATCCCTAACAGAGGGACAGACGACAGAATCAAAGTCATCCTGCTTTCAGGCCACCTAAGAATGCAGGAACCCAGAGTCAGGAGGCCCAGTTCCAACATCCTACCACTGGGCCTGCTGGACCTTCTGACCCTATTCCTCATGGACAAACAGGAATGATCAATCCCGCCTGCTTTACCTTGCCACTAGGGGGTGAGGAGCCAATAAAATAAAGAGTAAAAAATATTTGGGGGTGCCTGGGTGGTGCAGCCGGTTAAGCATCCGACTCTTGGTTTCAGCTCAGGTCGTGATCTCAGGGTTGTGAGATCGAGCCCCAGATCAGGCTCTGCACTCAGCATGGGGTCTGCCTGAGATTCTCCCTGAGGGGATTCTGCCCCTCCCGCTTGGGCTCTCTCTTTCTCTCAAATAAATAAATAAATCTTTCAGAAAAAAAAGTATTTGAGAAAAGTAACACCCGCCCCCCAGAGGTATAGAGGGTTACTCAGACAAATGACCGGCGAGGGGCATTTATCAAACCATCCACCAGGCTTCCTGCTAAGTGTCTTATAAACATCATCTTATATAAACATCATCTCACAACAATCCAGTGAGGATGATACCCACTCTGCAGATAAGAGACTGAGGCTCAGGGAGGGAAGGTGGCACCCAGGTCACAGAGCCAGGCAGTGTGGAGCCAGGATTTTAATTGGGATCTCACGTGTGTATCCTAGCTTAAGCCCCCGGGGCTTCCATTGCACCAGGCAGGGACCCCTCATTGCTGCGAGCCCAGAGAGCTAACTGGGCTCTGCTCCAGCTGCACCACAGGCCTGTTGCCCGCATGACCTTGGGCAAGTCATGGGGCCCCTCTTCTGTCAGCAGGAATAATGCAAATTCTCCCAGGCAAAGAGAATTTCTGCCACGGAGTGATGCTGCCGGGCTGGCGTAGGCACTTCTGCAGCACAGGTCTTTGTGATACCTCTGACCCCAATCTGCCAGTGCCCCGACCATCAGCCGTGTGTGCCACTGCTGGGGCCCAGGCTGCCCCCGGGGTGGGGTGGGGGCTTTGTGTCCTGAGCATGGGAACTTCCATCCAACCAACCAAGCAGAGGGGTCCTGGGGACCAGAAGACCGGCAGTGAGCCGTGGCAAGAAACGTGCCTCTGCAGAAGCTTCCCCGGGCTCCGGCCCGCTCTGGATCCCAAGGTGGGCGGCCTCACAGAGCACACCTACCCTCCACATTGGCACCTGCAGGCCAGCCTGCCTGCCGCCGCAGCCGAAAGGCGTAAGTTGTACCGTGGCAGACAGAGACAGAAGCACTCGCACGGTCACCTGCCTTTTTCCGAACTGCAGCTCACAGTCCTCCTCTCTTCCTCCCACAGATGACAGCATTCAGCCCGTGGCTGAGTTAGTTTTGTTCAGAACGGTGTTGGCCCACCCAGTTCTTTTACAATTTTTTTATGTAGTTTCTGGAGCCAGTGTTCTGCCCACAGCCCCTAGGATCCCTTTACAGTTCACGCGTGCACAACTCCAGGCTCCTTGGATGCTTTTCACTCCCTACAGCTAGCCCCTGGGGCTCTTTGTCAGAGACCCACCCCAGGCTGCTGGAAGATGCTTTGCCTGCTAGCACCGAGGGCGGGGAGTGCCCTGAACTGAGGACTGCCAAGCAAGGGGATATAAAACTTCCAACTCTTTGCCCGAGGTGTAAGGTACACTGTCCCCAGAGCTCCCCACGGCACTTTGCTTGGTGTCACCCTTATTTGGCTTCCTTCCTTCCATCCCCTGTCCCTCTTCCCCATTCCCTTACCATATTATTCCTGGAAACATTCCCCACCTCAGCCCCGCTGGGGATAAAAAGCTACTTTCAGGCAAATCCTCACCTCAGGTTCTGCTCCAGAAGAACCCCCAGGACACCTGAGATAGTTGCCAAATTGGCACAAAAATTTCTGCTTCTCATGATCAATCTGTAGATCTCACAACCTGGGCCTATTCTCACTTGGCAACAAGTGGCTACAGTGGAGTAGAGGCAGACGGAAGAGGTATTCTTCAGTTTTCCCCAGTCCACCACACTCCCTACTGCCTCCCACTGGCCCTTTTCACCCATTCACATTCCCTGCCTGGCCCCTCAAGGCTCATGAGTTTGCCTTCCAAACAATATAGTCCAGTGGTTAACAGTGCAGGCTCTCAGTCCAGGTTCACCAATTACTGATTCTGTGACCTCATATAAATCCCTTTCTGTCTCTTGGTTTCCTTATGTAAAACATGAGTACCACTACAGTTGTTAGAGACTTACATGGGATACTGACTGGAAAGTGATGTTCATAGTATCTAGCACCCAAGAAGTCAAGAAATTACTACGATTTGTCCTCTTGGAGAAGATGTGCCTGCTACCATCTGACAGCCCAAATCCAACGATCTGAGATTAGCTGCTGGCCCCCCACTCCCTCTGTGGGGAAAAATACCCCTTCCCCCAAGAGGTTTGGGTCTGACCACTCACCTCTTCCCACTGGTGAATATATCGAATGAGGCGGGAGAGACGCAAGAGGCGCAGGAGGCTGAGGATCTTGGTAAAGCGGACAATGCGCAAGGCCCGGGCGGTCTTGTAGACCTCTGAGTCAATGCGAGTCTCTACGATGAGGAAAATGTAGTCCACAGGGATAGAGGAGATGAAATCCACCACAAACCAGCTTTTGAGGTACTTCATCTTAATCCGCTGCGGGTCCAGGATGATCTCGGTGTTGTCCTCCACCACGATCCCTGTGCGGAAGTTGAGGACCAAGTCGATGAGGAAGAATGTGTCCGACACCACATTGAAGACGATCCAGGGTGTGGTGTTCTCATCCTTGAAGAAGGTGATGCCCACGGGAATGATGATTAGGTTTCCGACCATCAGCAGCAGCATGGTCAGGTCCCAGTAAAATCTGCCCAGAGACACAGGGGTCAGTCGCCAGGAGGACAGAGAGAATGAGTTACACACTATGAGAGAAAACTCCAAGGGAGAGCACGTGCAGAAGAGGGAAGACTTGGGAGGTTCTGAGTCACTGCGTGAGATAGGCACACGGGTACCATGGGCAAGATATGGAGATTGGCACCAGAAGGCTCTCTTTTCCCTAAGGATACCCTCTGCCTGTCCCTCTGTCTGCTCCCCAGTGACAAGCCTCCCACTCCCATCCCCGCTCCCCAGCAGGAGTCAGGCTGAAATGCAAACCAAACAATGATATCCAGAGAGAAGTGTGAAGTTATTTTAGCAGCAGGAGTAGTTCACCCCACAACACCCCAGGCTCAGGCCAAGCTGCTCCATCCTCCCTGAGGGTCAGCTATGGCCTGAGACAGGCTGGCGGGCAGACGTGCTACAGACCGTGACCAGAGAGCAGGGTAGGTCCAGACACACGGCGGGTACCTGGGTGGCAGGAGGCCTGGGATACAGCCCCAGCTCTGTCACTGACATGCTGTGTGATGTTAAGCAAGTTCCCTCCCTGCTCTGGGCCTCAGTTTCCTCACTGTGCAATAAGGGGTGGAGCCTAAACACTCCGTCCCATAATTGTGATCTGGCCCTCACCCACACTGGCTTTCTGGGGTCCCCCTTTAGTCTATCCCCTATAGTCAGAAAATGCTTGTCCATCTCTCTCCCCCAGAGGTTTGCATTCTAACACAGGGTTGGGGAAGGACAGTGAAATCTTCAAGGGCAGGAAGTGTTAATGAGGGGATTTCAGGCACTTGCGAGGTGTCACTCAATGCAGTGGAGTGAGATCAATGGGGGCTTACACTATCATTTCTCCTAAGGTGTCAAAGCAACTGCAAGTGCTTCCTGAGGGAAGTGGGAAGGGCCCCTCAGGGTGAAGCCACCTGGCCTAGCAGGGGCCCCTCTGGAGTGTGCAAGACAGCACAGGCAGGCACAGACCCCATGTCTAGAAGGTATGACCAATCAATCCCAGGGACCCTGCCTGAGTACCAGCCACCCCGGGGCTGGCCCCAAGATCTAAAACCTGCACTGCACAGCTATTTCCCTTTGCTATTAATTTAAACAGTTACACAATGACAGATAAAGGTATTAAGTCAGGCAGAAATAAGCATGTCCTCTCCCAAGAGAAATAACCTTTCAGCTGTCTTTAATTCTTGACTGTAAGAAAGCTAGGAGGGAGGAAAGAGACAAAAAGACAAGCTTCCCTCGAGTCTTCGGAGGGTCCCATTCCAAAACCAAAGTGTTCCTGCCAGAAGAGTTCCAGGTTTGAAAAATAAATATTACTTCACAGCAAATTGCTTTCTTTGCCAGATTCAAAATGGCGCTATGAGTCAAAGAGAACAGGATCTGCCTCACTGAAGGTGGACGAGACAGCTGTCCCACACGACACAACTCAGGGAAGGGCAGCTTCCGGAAGGGCAGCTTTGGACAGCTCCTTTGAAAGCCAAGCTATTCAGGGCCTCAAGACAGGACCTCAAGTCAGAGCCTCTCAGGCTAAAACCTTCTCATTCTCAGGCTGGTACTAAGAGGTCAACTTCAGCCCCTTCCCTGCCCTACAACCCACCACCCTTTCTCCAGCCCCAATCCCCCTATGCCATCTGGGAGAACCCAACCTAAGATCCACGAACCCACCCCAGCCATCACACCCACCACACAGAAGACAGCACATCTTGCTAATGATGCGTGAGCCCCAGGAGAATGGTTTCAGCTTCTATGGGATGTTCCTGAGCTGTGTACACTCTCTACACAGCCTCATGCACGTCATTCAAAGACAGCTGCAGACACACATTAGAAGCCACAAACAGGTATCCCCATTCACACAGTGTGCAAACACCCCTATATACACATGGTCACCATTCCCTTTCATTTCATCTCTTGGGAAAAAAACAAAACAAAACAAAACTGGCATTGAGAGGCTACTGAAAGCCCCATGGCCCTCTGCACATAAAGCTAATAATACACCCAGGCTAGAGGAGTTTCTAAAATTAACAGAGCGGGAGCAAGGCGGCTGGGAATGCTGACTTGGGTAGGCCTGCCACTCCAGCGGGTTTCTACACTTTCCCCAGCTCTAGTTCTCTCAATTACAGACCAAATTTGAGACAGTAATTAACAGGAGAATGTTTGCATTTAGTGGTCTTCATAAAACCAAATTACACGAGGCAAAAACAACCATTTCCTGGCATTCTGACTAATTATTTCAATCATGAGTTTCCAGATGCTAAGGGATATTTCTGGTGCCTGATCCAGGCTGGGGTCGGAATGCTGGAGCATTCCTCCCCACAAACCACTATCCTGGAGCATCACAGAGCTAACCAAAAGGCAGCATAATATGGTGGGAAGAGAGGCTTTCAGAGCCAGCCATCCTGGGTTCAATTCTTGGTTCCATCATTTACTAGCAAGTCACTTAATCTCTCCATGCCTCAGTTTCCTTGTCTGCTCACTGAGAATAATAATGGTACCTAACTCAGAGTTATAAGAATGACATGAATTGATATTTGCAAAATGCTCTAACTTATACCTACCTATATTACTAAATGAGTCAGTAAGGAACTCAAGTCAACAAATTCACAGGAAAGAGACAAGGGAGGAAGATGAAATCTTCCAGGGGAGAGTCAAAGCAAAACATCTACTGGGGGTGGGGGTGGAAGGGAGCTTATAATGGTTCTGGGAGAGTCCAACGGTGGAAGTCAAGGACCACAACATTCTGTGAACAGTCAGGCAACAGAACCAGTCTACCTTGGCAGACAGATGACCTGACCTCAGGGAGCTCATGGTCTAGTCAGAATACAAGGCTTAGACAGAAGACAAGTTGGGCAATGATGGAAGAAACCATCCCAGGCAACAGCCCAGGCATGGCTCCTGGTGGCCCAGAAGGGTGAGGCCAGAAAGTGCTCCTGGAGGACCTGGGCTTTGGGAGCTGCCCTTGGCCTTGGAGACTACCTCTCCCCTTACTTTTGCAGGCAGGTTGCACAGATTCCCAAAAGCAGGGCCAGTTGAGAGCGGGGAGGGAGAAGGGAAGGGGAGGCGTTCAGCACCACGGACAGCTCCTGCAGCCTGCCAGCCCCGTTCTGCTCTTCTAGCGGGGGGAAGTGGGCAACAGCTTCCCCACTGCATCTTCTGCTCCTGGGGCCCTCTTCTCGCCAAGCCCAGGGATCAGAAGCATCTCAAGTGATTCCTTAATGTCCTGGGCTTTTTTAAGGGGCTCCTTGGTGGCTGCATAAAGACTCCAAAACATTTCACATGTATCAAGCACTTAACTTTGTGTTTCCCATGCATTATTTCATTTAATCCTCACACCAGCACTGAGGTGGCTGCTCACATCTGTATTTTGCAGATGATGACACTGAGACTCAGAGAGAAGTATCTACCCAAGATCACACAACTAATGAGGGACAGAATGAGATTCTAAGAGGTCTGGGGGGACTTGAGAGCCTGGCTGATTAGGATTTTAGGCACCTGGGGGGGGGATGTAGGGAGGGAGACCAGCCTTCCTGACACCTCTACGTCACACGGGGAGGTAGCCTATCACAGCGGGTACAGACAAGAGAGGAGAGAGAGATGGGGCCAGATGGTGACTACCCTTATAGTGGTAAGCACTAAATAATGTATAGAATTGTTCAATCATTATCAAATCGCACCTGAAAGTGATATAACATTGTATGTCACCTCTACTTCAATAATAAAATTTTAAAAAGAGAGAAGAGAGAGTTGTGAAGAGGTTTGGAGGGATCCCATCCTTCTGGTGTACTTCCTGGCTGGGGGAAGTAGCACAACTTTCAAATATTAAAAGCATCCTGGTCACCCTGGTCAATCGGGCACAGTTGTGCTATCCTGTAAGAGGGGTCTGTGGAGGAGGGAACAGTAACATTTCCACAACCTCAAGCTGGATGCCCCATATTCCCCCAGCACCTCACTAGCCCTAGAATCGTTCATGGCTAGCTCCCACAATCCAGGGTATGCATCTGTGGTGGTGGGTGGCAGGCCCTGGCAGGGAAGCGAGGGACAGCCAGACTCAGACATGCTGGAGTTGGCGCATGCCTGATTTAGGGGCCTTGTTCTCTCCAAAGCCAGATGACCCGCCCCTGTCCCAGTGTTCTCTAAGCTAAAGGGAAGACACCTCACCCCAGTTTCAGCCCCAGGACCCCAGGCCTGTCCTCCCTTAATCCTGGACCTCTCTTCCTACCTGGCCATCCAAGCAGGCAGGTGGCCTCTCAGCAAGTGGGCGTGGCCTACAGGGCAGCTTCGGAGGAGCAGGTCTCGTGTGCAGAAAAAATGGGGGATGGCAAAAAGCCAAGCAGCCCTTTTACACGGACACCTGGAACATTCCATGGTTTGGTCTAAGAGGTAGGTTATGGCTGAGGGAGCTCAAAGGAGCTGAGGAAAGAGAAGATAGGAGGCTCCTGACCCTGAACTCAGAGACTCAAGGACCAGACCAAGGGCACTCTCATCCCCAGAGGCTGAAGAGGAGTGAAAGGTAACAAAATGGGGGCAGGAGAAGTGGAAGTCAGAAGAGGGATGGCCTCCTTCAACCTCGTCTTGTCCACACACAGCCATGCTTGCCTTTGAGCGCATATGCTCATACACACACACACACACACACACACACTCAAAGGCACACACACACACACCCATAATACAGTTTTGTACACTCTCATCTATGCACTCCTGCTAATTTTTGCTCCCGTACACACATGCATATTTTCTTGCACACCTGCTTGCATACATTTTGATACAAATGACATCCACTGGGAATCCTGCTGGCTGGAAGAGAGGGTTGGCTTTTGGCCCATTACATTTATTTCCATCCTTCAGGATTCATCTGAAGTGCTACTTCTTCCAGGCCTCTCCAACCCCTCACCGATGGACCTGGGCCTGGCTTGAGCCCTGGCTTTGGACATCCCAGAACACTGTGGCTCCCTGAAGGCAGGGGCCTTGTCCCAGACATGGCTGTGCTCCTGC